ATACTGTTTTTGACCCCCGGCTTCCCCCCCCCCCCCCTCTGGTTTTTTTTTTTTTTTTTTTTTTTGAGTCAGGATCTTCCTGTAGCCAGTTTCCCTGGAAATCACTATGTGGACAAGGCTGGCTTTAGTTTCATAGAGATCCTCCTGAGAGATGGAATTAAAGGTGTGTGCCACCACACCTGGCTTGACCACTGCTTTTCAATATCATCCTGGAATTCCCAGCTAGTGCAATAAGAGAAGAAAAGGAAATAAAAAACACAGACTGGGAAGGAAAAAGAAAAGTGTCCTTGTCCACAGATGACTTGACTACAAAAAACCCTCAAGGAACCTACAAAAACCTCTTAGAACTAATACACAGTTACAGCAAGGTTCTAGGACACAGGGTTAACACAAAAAACTGTTTACTTTCCTTATACTGTAGCAATAAACAACTGGAATTTTAAATATTTGCATTTAAAATGGGAATATTTAGGCATAAATCTAATGAAATAGAGATTTATACAAATGTGTATAAGGTTTATAAAGACATTTATTCAGTGTGTATATGTGTGCATGTGTGGGTCACAGCATGTGCGTGAAGGTCAGAAGACAATTTTCCAGTCAGTTTTTTCCTCCTACCATGTGGGCCTCAAGGATCAAACTTAGGTTGTCAGCCTTGGTGATACATGCCTTTACCTGCTGAGCACTTTGATAGTCATAAAAATATGTTAAAATGACAACATAAAATCTAAATAAATGAAAACCATTATATGTTCATGGAGTGGAAGAACAAGTGTTGTTAGGATGTCAGTTCAAACATAGATGCAACACAGGTCCTGGCAAAGTCCCAACGGTATTTTGGAGACAATGACAGAATGATTCTAAAGATTATACAGAAAGGCAAAAAGATCCAGAATAGCTAATACCATATAAAGAGCAAAGCTGGGGAAGTACCCTACCCCCCTGTCTTTCTATAATCTACAGTAGTAATCAATGCAGTGCATTGATGAAAGGATACAAAGATTAACAGAACAGAACACAGTACAGACATAGTCCCACACAGACAAAAGTCAAGTGGACTGGAACTACAGCTTAGTGGTAGAGTATTTGCCGCCCATGCATGATATTGTAGCTTTAATCCCCAGTACCGCCCAAAATAAATAGTAGAATAAATATATGTAACTCATTTTTGACAAGGCACAAAGGCAATTCAATGAAGAATTACCTGTTCAATACATGGTGCTGGAACAACTGGAATATGGGGTGTGTGTGTGTGTGTGTGCGTGTGTGCGTGTGTGTTCCAGACACAGGCCTTTCACAAAAATTATCTCAAAGTGGACCACAGACCCAAATGTGGAAAGGCAAAGCTATAAAACTGGAACTGCTGGAAGAAACAGTTACATAGAAAAACTACAGGCAGAACTTCCAGACCAGCCACAGCCATGTAGGTCTCCATAAGCCTATCCACTTTCCTGAACTCTTCAGGAAAGCATAATTTCTCCCTTCCTTCTTTCATGCCTTTCTTACTAAACATGCTTTCTCTAAAGCTTTGGGCTGCCCCTAGCATCTTATAGTTGTTCACTTTTTCTCCAAAGCTTCCTTCTCCCAGTCATGTGGCTACGAGTCAGCTGTGTGTCTGACCTCCATGCAGGCTCTAAACCTGCACTGCTTCATGATTCTTTCTTTTCTTTTTTCCTTCCTTCCTTCCTTCCTTCCTTCCTTCCTTCCTTCCTTCCTTCCTTCCTTCCTTTCTTTCTTTCTTTCTTCCTCTCTCTCTCTCTCTCTTTCTTCTTTCCTTCCTTCCTTCCCTCCCTCCCTCCTTCCTTCCTTCCTTCCTTTCCACCACTCACCTCAAGGCAGCTGCCAAGATCACCAGATCGCCTGCCCTGAGGATTTTTCTTTAAGATTCTAATAATATTGTAAAAGCTTTAAAAAAAGAAAAGAAAAACTATGTAACTCTGATTTAGCTTAGATTTTAGAAATAACAAAAGCATGACCAGGATAAGAAGAACCTGATAAGCTGGAGACAAGAAGGAAAGAGCAGGGCCCAGACAGCCCCCTTAGTTCAGATAAGAGGAAGAACGAGTTCAGGGGAAAATAGAAAATAAACAAAAAACAAAACCAAACTAAGAGTCTTGAGAACCTATCCTTTTCACAGGATTTTCTACATGGCCTTGA